TCCTTCTAGAACCCAGTTTAAAGCATTATTAAACATTTATTTATGCGAATCCTCGCGCTGGGAAGCATGCTGCCCCGCGCTGAGAACATAAAGAGCAGTGCTACACCCTTTTTCCACTTGTGCTTTTCAGGTAAACGACAGTCACTGACCGACAAGAACAAAAGCGCCCCGGAATCTAGGGCAAAAGCTCCGATCCTGTGTGTCAATCCGTGGATCCGTATTTCAGTACGGTGTTGGTATGGTACTGTGATACCCAGTTTGATAGCACATTCGCATTTTTTCATTTCCTACTTTGACCGCGCCCTCTCGCTTACTCCTTTCCTTACCGGGAACCACAGTCTTCATTTGTCACAGGCCAATACCGGGAGACGTTCATCGCAATCTACTGAACCCTCTCTCGGATGGTAAGATCTCGGTGACTTTTATTCGTACCCCTACCCAGGTCATTTTGCGTGAATTCGTTCTCCCAAGTTTCGCTCAAGTTTCACTGCACACTGTGATTTTGAGTCTTCTACCATCATTTGTCCGTACTGCATATCACCCCACTTCACCATCCCCCTTTACGCTTTCCGTGGACATATGCCCTAAAGCCCAAGGCCACGAAGCCCTGGTGACGGCCTTGGGCTTTAGTTCAAATTGGCCGGCCATGTCATGGCAGTTCCGCTGCCTCTCAAGATCCATTATTCTGACTCCACACTTCCTGAAGTTTGAAGTTTCTTGTCACGTTCCAGGCAGGAAGCTTTTTGTTGTGCCCCAACTCGTATTGTTTTTGCCCGCAACTTTTAAATCCTAACGATCAGATCTTGTGTCATCTGCTTTGTTCCCCATGGACGTTAGAGAGCTATCGTAATTTTGGATCCATACCCATGCCATCTCAGGTTTGATGAAGTCTACTTCGTTAGAGTCCACTGTTCACCTCACCGTCCCTTTTCCAGGGAAATCCCAATAATCAAAACCTCCATCAGCCATGCCCTTATTCTGACTGTAACAGTATGACCATGCCTGATGATATGCTAGCCACTAGTTGGGAATAAATATTATTATCATTATTATTATATAACCAGCCACGCTCCGGAGGTCTAAAACTTGGAGGCACCCCATATCATCTGCCTTCAGAGGCCATGGCTCGCACCCATACTGTAACACAGCCCTTACTATAGCCTGGTAAACACGACCCTTAAGATCCAGTGAGATGCCTTTTTGACGCTACAAATGATGCAACTTAGCGAACGTGACTCGAGTCTTTGAACATCTTGCACTGACTACATCAGACACGCTTGCGTCGGAGCTTATACAACTGCCGGGGCATGGAAAATTTTCCACAATCTCCAGTGATTCTCCTTGAATTTTAAGGGATACGTTCGCAGACGGTACTTTCTGAAGCATGACTTTGCACTTTGAAGGTGCGAGGCGCATGCCAAAAGATGGAATGATGGTGGTCAGTTTACTCAACAGGGCTCGTGCCTCGCTTTGATCTTCAAAGATGAGGGCGATGGCACCCGCGCACTCCAAATCAACAAGGCTGTCGCCACCAGCGACTAGAGGCACAATGCATTTTTCTGCAAAGCCCCCGCTTGCGAAATAAAAACTAACGTCAAAATGTTGCACTTCTTTGCATATATGCGTAGACTGAAAACCCCCCTCATCTGCCGTCATTTTTTAGCGATTTGTTTTAATCGATCTCTTCTGAAAATTATTGGTGCACATTTGGCATTGAACCTCGTCTGCTATGGCTTCGGAAGTGGCTTTCTTTGAGAAATTTGTGGGTGTATCTTTTTCATCCTTCACGGCATTTGAAAAGACCTTAAATGAATACATGAAAGATAACTTTGTGATATTTGTGCGTTCATCCAGTAATCGAAGCACCAACACTATTTTGCGTTACGAATGGGTGTACTACAAATGCAGCAGGCGCCCTCCA